CACCCAAGATCCTTGGGTGGGGAAATGGATACAGACTGGCCAATTTGATACTGTCTTACCCCCACCAAAAGATCTGCTTGGAGATTATACCAAGATACCAAGTTTGAATTGGTCACAGCAGAAAGTTAAGGCCACAAAGGCCAAGAAAGTTTTCTGGTTACAATAAGGTAGCAGACTTTTCTCTCAACTTATCATTCATCAGTATCTGTGCATCTCTGGTACCCATTATCATTACATACCTAATTGGAACCTAATTGTGTTTTCTACAACACGACAGATAATACTACTAACACTGTATATATAGAAGTCTGTTTGAAGTTAGATTAAGATATCAACTTTTGACATTTAGCTAGAGGTCTTGTTTTGGTTTTGTCTAAATCTCTGGTGGGCCAGGAGCCCTGTTGTCTATAAACAGGCAATTTAGGTGTTTTGGATTCGAGTGGGGTGAAAACAGAGGAAAAACACATGATGTGGAGAAGGAGAAGGCAGATTTAAGGGTCGAAGGTCACATTTGATGAGCTTCGGCTTGCATGCCCTTTCACTCACAAAGGAATTCAAGTCATGTAAGTCTTAGTAGACTACTGGCATTTTTTATTTAGAAAATGGCTACGATACAGTTGTTTCAAAAGAATTTGCAAAAGGTATTGTTTTGGGTTGGTCTGTGGGTTTGTGTGTATGCTTGTCTAGACAGAGTAGGTTGACAGCATGTGGGTGAGAGGAAGATTGACAGGCAGCATGACAGGTCAAAAGGTTAGACACAGGAAATGGGATGAACTTGGAGGTACCAGAATTGTTTGAGAATTTCTCAATCAGAAACATGTCCATATCCTGAAACAACTTTTGATTGTGGTATGATAGACTTGAAATCTGAAATGGCTTTTTCAAATGCGGCATCATAGCTGGAGATGCATTGTGGCTATGTGGAGAAAATAAAGTCTATATGAGTATTTACTTCTTTTGGCTTCTAACAAAGGCACAGAACAGTCAGTCAGGACTCAACATTTCCTTTGTGTCAGCTGAATGACTGAAAGGCCATTAATTTCACCGACTTGTCAAAGGTCAAAGGGTCAAGAGGTACACTTACTTTTATAGCCCCGTTTTAAAAGTGTGTTTTGTACCTGGTCTGAGCTCGTCTGCCCTTATTGTCTGAACACCTGCAGCTTACCTTATACCACAACAAGCAACAGTTGCCATGTGAGACATAAGAACAGCTCCAAACATCAGTCCAGAGTTTGTTTACTACCTGTAACTTTTTCTCTCTTTCTCACATATATGCAATGGTTTTTAGATAGCGCTGTTTTATAGATATAACAATTCTAATTTAGTGTGTCACTTTTTCTAGGGTATACACCCAGGGGCCAATATTTTAAAGATCCTTTTATAAATTGTTCCTTTGAAACTACATCAGAAAGGTGACAATGTGTTTCTTATAGCTACGTTTGAACACAAGGACAAGACATTTAAGACAGATATATGAGTGACCTGTTGATAGTCTCTGTGATTAAAGAAAAAGTCACTAACCTTTGATGCGATACTTTATCTATGACTCACTGTTCCTCTATATCACTAAAAATCTTCAGTAATGGCTTATCTGCTTCAAACATTATTGTCTGTTTGAAAAAGTAAAACACATGGACACATACATGTAGATATGTTTTCCTCCCTTTATAACTAACTATTTGTGTGATAACAAGAGTTACAGATGTTACTGAGGAGTGATCAGTATAATTTGAGTTGAAAACCAAACCTTTACTGTAACTCAGTGGGGGAAAAATACTTGGCATAACCTTGTAAGGTCTTTCCTATCAAACAAAACATTAATTTATAGATGCCTTGAAGTGTCAAGATCTGCTGACAAGGATAGCTGCCTTCCTTATCAGACCAGTGCAGGGGTAGTGTCTGAACTTTTCACATCAAGATAGACCACCAGAGAAGCGACTTATGAACTTGCATAGTTGCAGTTGTAAGGGGGCCCGCATGCCCTTTTCCGCTGTTTGAATTCTACATAGAGCATAGACGGACCGCTCTAATTCAACGTAGAGCGTAATTAGTACATTTTGCGTAGAGAGTATTTGCTGTTTTAATTCTACATAATGCATTGTAGCCACTTCGAATTTATCGTAAAGCGTAATCGAGAGCTCCCAAAATTTAGCACAGAGCATTGTCCCCCCCCCCCCATGCAGGCCCCCTTGTAACTGTAATATCTTGTTGATATTCACTCTTAAAGTTACAATGTCAAAACTTTTAAAGTTCAACTCAGAGATTATGAAAAAAGAGAACCTTACTGACATATGGAAGTTCTCTGTTCTGGAACTATCATACAAGCACAGCTGTACAGTCTGGATAGAGGAAACACACAAGGTTACAATATTTCTTCTTGAGCTTTAAAAACAAAACTGAAGAGACAGACTCTGAAAGATCAGGATGTTATTTGGGAGGTACGATAGACCCTGGCTCATGTGATCAAATTGGTACATTATGGTATGAATAGTTTTTCCTGTACTGGCTTGTGACAGTTGCCAGGCCCTCATTATAATTACATAAGTATGATTGACGGCCTTTTGTGGGGCAGAACCACAGGAAGTTTGGAACAGAAGACAGTTGGGTGTGGTGAGGGGAGGTAGCCTGGAGGATAGCCTCAGGTAGGGTTATATGATTTATCTAAACGGAATTCATGCTTCAAATAGTGGTCATTTACAGAACAACACGTCTATTGTTGTTGTTCTTTGTCATGTTTGCCAAATCTTGAAACTTCCTGTAGTTATAGAATAATGATAAGGCCTAGCATGATATAGTAGTGAAATGTAATGCATGTGGCACAATGCCTTCATTAGACCTTTGGTGTATTTGTCCTGGAGAAAATACTATTGGTATGCCAGGTAAGCAGTTTTTGAAATGCAGTTTTATGTATCGTTAGAAATACTTTATCTTTCCATAAACACATAAATTTTGCTGTGTTTCCATATGTGAAAACTAGTTATTTTGGTTCATGTCATATTGTTTCACATGAATTTGAGGGGGAGAGGCATTGTAGATGTAATATAACATGCCATAAGTCTTGAGGGTTTTATAATATAAGTGCATTGTTTCACGCCTGATCGCTGCTGTAGGTAAAGACAGAAACAGGTGGGCCGACTTGGCAGGTTTATTTTTCCATGACTTAAGCGAAATGTCCCAAGGTCAAGAACTCCTCAGAGGGCCACCAAGGTGAACATGGGATTATTTGGGTCCTGGGAAGTATAGGAAGTCAGGAAAGATAACAAGGTGCCTGTCTTAGTAAATTTGCCGGAGTGCCACCTTTAAAAACACATCTGGTACGGTATAAGGTGAGGCAGCGTTTTTAGATCAAGTTAGTCAAGAAGCCAGATGTGGAAGGTATTGGTAATATGTAGTTGTCCTTGTTCTCATTATATTGTACTTACCTATTCAAGATAACTTTGATTCTGGTCACATTATGTTTTATAAGCATTTCTTTGAAACATTTTCCCCTCTTTTCATAATCTCCTAGCATATTTACCAGTGGCATGACAGTGGGCAAAAAAAAATGCAAAAGTCAAAAAGCATTTTTTTACCCTCTGTGAAGCCACCGGTAAATTTGCTTGGAGATTATCTGTATCAAATAACCTAAATTCTGTCCTGTCATTTATTATTGGTATTATTGGAGAAGAGAAGTCTTGTGACTTGATGCTTATCACTGTTTTGACAGATCTTTCCTTTGCTTCACAGCTGGAGATGCCAGGTTCAGAGTTGTTCATGAGTTGATGGTGACGGAGAGAAACTACATTGATGCACTCAAGAGCATCTTCGACATCTACGCTGAACCACTTCGGTGAGTAATCTATGACCAAATGCAGTCAAACCTGTACAAGTGACTACCTCTCCATTAAGACCACCTGAACAGTGTGACTACCGTTTGGTTGTACTGTAGATAATTTTTCCCGTCGACATAAGCATTAAGAAGTGACCACCTGTCCACATAGACTAGATTTTATTGGTCTCCTGAGTGGTCTTCATGGGCAGTTTTGACTGTATGTTTAGTATATTAGATTAAGATTTAGACTGTCATTTAGTTGTCATTTTTATTCAGTTTGATAAAGTCTTATGAAAGATGGTGATGATGATGATGAAAGATGGCCAAGTAGATAGTCAAGGTTTGGCTATACCCTCATGTCTTAAGTCATTTGCAAGTATTAAAAAAATATGCATTTCTTAGATTGTAAGTTAAGTTTTGTTGCTAAGACATTGAATAATCATGCTTCATTGGACGAAAGTTTCAGTGTTCCCTGGATACACTCAAGATTAATCTTAGTTGAAAGATTGAACGGTACGAAGTTACTTCCCTTGTTAGCACAAAAACAGTCGAGAAAATTCTTCATTGCTCAAGAGGGATTGTTACCGCCTAGTTACCAGGCACGAAAACCTTGGTTATGTAATCCCGGTGACTATATCAGTGACAGTTACTCTTTGAAACGTTAGAACTCTTGCTCTCGGAGGCTGATCATAAACGGGGATTTTGCGAAATTAATGAATTCCATTTCTCCCGCTGGGCTTCGTTATGACGGTTTTCTCACCTCGCGGGAGCATAGTGGTTTATTAGCGTCAGTCGCGCAGCCAGCTGTGAAACATATTGGGATGTACGGACGAGATTGATCTTGGCAACCAAAGCTCGAATACAGACCCTGTGGCTACGAAAATTGGCAGTCGTTTCATTTTCATTATCACAATTGGCTAATCTGTCTTTTACTGAGGTGGTACACTGAAGGGACAAGAAGGTAAGGCTGTCTTGATATGATCTATATGCTCGTTAAATCTACAGTTTTCCTATTTTTGTAGAATTTCATGTGAACTTGACCTTAGAGAAGGAGAAAATCTGATTATATCTGTTCCTAAATTGGTGTTTCACCAGTCTTGCTCATTTGCTTCAGTGTACTTTTGCAAAGACCCAAGAAGGAGAAAGGCTCTCCATGACAAAAAGAACTTAAATTCTTGCAAGAAAACTTGAAATCTTGCTGATCCTATCAGGACTGTACGTTGCAGCTGTTTTGTAGCTTTACCCAATGTTTTTGTGGAAAGGCTCAAGTCTTAAGGGTGGTACAAGTCTGTTTCTGATACAAGAAAGCTCCTACTTCCGAAAAGAAGCTAGATACATCCTCATCAGTATCAGAAAGAAAACACGGCTTTCATCCTGTTAAGACCATGTTTCTGAGAATGTTGATAGGTTGTGCCTGGTGCGTGTAAAGGTCCCGAAAGGAAAGGAACAGTCAGAGCTTTCCAGAAGTACCTATACGGATAGTAGGCTACTTTGTATGACTGAAAAGGAATGCTTTGCCCAAAATAGGTTTTTCTAGGACAGCACATAGATTATACCACGTAAAACACTTTAATTATTGGTAATTTATCTATATTTGTGTAGCTAGCTTCTACAACAATATAGGGACTACACTGAGTGAAAAATTAATCAAATCATACTAATACAATTCCCTGTTTTACTGTTTTACTGTTTTACTGTTTGCTTTAGATGACGGTGAATATCATTTATGTAGACAATGTTTCCTTGAGAAATACGCAACTGCCTTACCATTTGTGCAGTTCACTAAGGTGTTCATAGGGGGCTCTTCAATTAATAAACATTAGGATTGTCATACTGCTCAAAAATGTTTACTGGTTAGCCGTACATTTTATAACTGTTGTTTTTAGCCTTCTTTTACAACTTCAAGTTAATGTTTGCATTTAGAAATTGTAGTTTGAACCTCAAAAAGACACTTCCTGTGCTCAAGTACAAGTACAAGTCTACCAGTCTTCCATAGCCTAAACAAAAATATCCCTCTCCAGATCCTACAAGTCGAGACAGGATATTTTTGGCCTGCCAGACAAAGTGGGTGAATTGGAGAGCAATTCTTATCGCAAAGTCTGGCAAAACAACAGAGTTATCTTCTCACACAAGAGGGAAGTGGGCTAGACTTATCGTAGGGTCTGCTTGTGTCAGAGTTATGGCTGCAGTGGATGGCTTTGAACCAGAACTGGTAAATACTGTAAAGTCATTCAAGTTCAATGCATGTTTGGATGTGTGTGGTTTAGAGGCATGACTCTAGAAGCTATGGATGGATTGTCATGAAATTTAGTACATATTATATGAGTGTTTAGGTCTTTACTTGTAGTATGAAAGAAATGATTGAAAAAGAATTAATTCAATATTGTATATTCATCTCAAGCACTCCTTTCCCTCAAAAGAAAATATGACATTTAAGAGCAGTGCCAGAGAATGTTTTAGTTGTTTCTTTAGGCCCTGTATACTGTACTTACTGTAGGTATCGTCATGTCCTTAATGTGGATGAGTACATCAAGTTGACACACATCGCTGCATTCGAGACACCTCAGTGTTGTCATGCATGAGAAATGTGATAGGGGGAGTAACACACCATTTCATATTGAGCCAAATAAATTTATTTGTTGCCTGGTTACCTGAATTATTCTTGGCAATATATGCTGTGATTATCAATGGTTATTTCTATGTCAATTTGTATGTTCAGCTAATTTCATTCATAACTTGAAATACTGTATTGAATTTTCTAACATGATTATGTAGCTCATACTCATATCTTGTTATGTGTACTCATCAGTGTATCATTTTAATGAATAGTTTATTATGAGTTTTAATGTTGAAGAGTGAGTGTGAATGCCTTCACTGTAAAACAGGTTATATTACCATGTTTGCCCAAATGACTTTTAGCTGGAGGAAGACCAATCCTATGGCCATTGACTCTGTATAGCAGGACACCAGCGCTCATGTTGCTAAGACATTCCTCTCTTCTACTGAAGCCTGGTGTGTGTGGGTTTGCTTTCCTTCAAACTGGAGACCACCACAGCTGCACCATTGTTAGGCAAGATTCCCCCGGTCCTCTCCATCATTTTTTCCGACCTTCAGAGTGAAAGAAAAGGACAAAGAGATCCGCAATAAGTCTTCTGCTGAGAAATCTGGCAATTTACATACATCTTACACTACTTACAGATATAAAACTTTCTTCTACCAACTTGTCTTGGACTGGTAACTTGGAGAAAATAATGTCAAGCAAGTTCCCCCATGCTGGTCTTCTCTATCATTTTTTTTTTCACGTTCAAAGCTGTATTAAGTCTTGAACTAAGACATCTTACAAGTCAGAATATGTTACAGATAAGATGAAAACATTTTGCTACCAGTGTCTTGGACTAGTAACTAGAACTAGTAGAAGAAAACAAGACACTGTTGTTTTCCTCACAAGTGCTTTTATCAGTTATACCAATAGTATAAACCTTAGGTTTATAGCTGTATAACCCTTAAATTTATTGTAGTGTTTACAGAACTAAGAATGCCATAAAAGTCTTTTCATCCAGGCAAAGTTTCACTCAATCTATAACAATAGCCAAGCTGTCCACTTCATGATATAATGACCATAGCAAACCGCAATGTACATAACATCATACCTTTATGAAACTTTGATCTCGTTAAACCCAGAAGAATACAACTGATAAATCTTGAGACAGTTGTGAAGATTACAATATTATTGCTACCATGTCATGTGGTATTTTCTTTATTTTGGACTGTCAATATGATTTTGTGAAACATCTGAGTTGAAACTGAGCACCATCTGAATCAAACCTGGGAAAACCTACTGACAGAGTGACCAAACTCTGGATCCAAAAGGTCACAACCTCTGACCTAGAAGTGACCCTTGAACTAGGTCAAACAGTTAAAAGTTTGAAGATAACAATTTGTCACTGTCTCTTTTCTTACTGTGTTAAAGAGAAATGTGCCACTATAGTCAGATATGAAAAAAATGCTTCATTTTTTTCTCAGCACTTCCAAAATATAACTCCTCTGAAATGTAGAAGGGAACTTTTTTTTATTTTAAAGTTTTGAGTAATCTGATAAACAAGTAGTACAAAAACAATTTCTTTATTAATTAGCAGTTGCAATGATATACTCTTGCTGTTTTCAATTGCTCTGACACATCCTTTACCTCACAAGTGATCTTAATACTTTTTCCCAGCTGCCTTACATTTCAGTAGCGGGAAGCAAAGTTAAGCTGACAACACTGATAAGATACCTACTGTTTCAGATAACTTGGTCAGGGAAGAAACTTTAGGACATCCTGGGCTCCAGCCTTTTCCTATTATATCTCATGTTCGTCTCTTTAAGCAGTAATGAGAGGTAGCAGGGAGGTTGACTGTTCTGTTTTGTAGGAAAGGACCTGGTGTATGTTGCTGTAATGTTTTGTCATGTCTTGTCAGCTGGGCAAGCCCTTTGTAATAGCCACTGGCTAGTTGGACTGCCTTGGCTGTGAGGGTTGAATAGCCAAACCAATAAGTGAATAGATACTGTATTAAATAATTGGGAAAGTCAGATACTCGTACATGGATATGTTGAATTGTTTTCTTCAATGTAGGTTTCTAATGTGAAAGAGTAGAAGAGAGCCTTGATACAATGAATTACTGTAAATTGTGAAATATTACCTGATACCACAGAATCCTAACATTTTAAATGAGTGTTTTGTATTTCTATTGTACCTGACTGAAATGAACTTCTAATACTGTGAAATCCTAGCCTGGGTACCATCCCCAGTAGTATATTCGCAAACTCTATAACTGGGTCTGGACTTGCACACATATGTAGCGTCTGGAGTCTAAATATTCGTTCAGATTTTGAACGAGCGCGCTGATTGGTCCTACTCGTCTAAGCCCTTTTTTGGGTGTGTACATATTAGGTAAGGGCTGTTCGGATGTCCGAACGGCGACGTTAGCGTCCGTTCGAACGTCCGAACGCCTTATCATCAACATGTCCGACGGCGAACCGAAC